TTATGTGTTGATGCCTCGCTTGGGTTAACTCTGGGTTCAGCACCGCAGCGTCCTGGACAGCTCCGAGCGGCGCGCTCCAGGGAAGGTTCTCTGTTGGTTTGGTGGAGATAGATTTGCTAAAGGATAGGGAAAACGATTACCTTGTGTTCAGTCTCCCCTGCTTTCTTGTCGGTTTACTTCTGGGTCTTCCTGGACAGGGCTCTCCAACGTGCTCGTTATGTGATGGGACCTGGTTTACCGTAACCCCCAGTGGAAGGGGCACAGATGCTCTTGCTTATTGGTCGAAGCAGTGGTTAGTTCGAGTCCTTCTTCTCTTGGAGGGCAGAGTGTTTAAAACAAGCTGTGCAGTTATCTGGTAGAGGTTACGACTCCAGAGGAAGTGGAATCCCTCTTATGTCTAGCTCTGGTTCAGCTTTGTTTAATACGAAAGAGGGTGTGAGGGTCTTCAGAAAGTGAAGGGAAAGGCAGATGGAGGCTCAAACTATTGAGTTTTTCATTAGGAGGTTGTTGAAGAACGATAGTAGTTCGGAGCATCCCCCTGTTGATAAGAAGGGGATGTAAATCAACTTATAGTACAATCCTATGCATGTCTACTCTGAAGTTGGCCCCACTGCTTTCAATGTACCTTACTCCCAGATAGTGTATCTAGGATTACAATCTTGCACACCTGTTCTCATTTGACTTCCAAGTGCTTAAGAAGGCACTCCTATACCTTCTCCCTCAGGAGTAAGCTTCTTTTGCACATAAGGTTGATGCTGACTAACTGCCCATGGGGTGGCTTGAGTTGAGAATGCACTAAAGGCACACCTACCTCAATGATATATTGGTATATTCAGGTTGCCAGCCAAATTACATTAGTTGGGGTGTTTGGCTGGCAACTCTTCTGTTAAATCTGTTGACGAACACATGCTTGTTTTGACTTGAGAGTGATCACATTTGTTGTGTCTGTGTTTGAAATTGTTGACGCTGGAAGGAATTGTTTTCTGAAGAAGTTCAGCTTCTTCATATGACAAATGAGATGCAGGAAGGCTACCCACTGTGGACCTGTCACCATGTGCAAGAGAGCCCTGAAAAAGTTCTATAGTACTGGATCCAGCTTTGGAGAGAGGAACGCTGTTTTCTCACTAGTGCTTATTGAAACTTTTCTATAGCAACAATGCAGTAGGAATTCAGCACATGTCCCTTGTGTGGAAGAGTTGCTTCCTATGCTTGCTAAAGATGGTTACCTTGTGATTTCTCTGTAAATATAGTGACTGAGCAAAGTTTGAGGCAAGTCCTAAAATAAATTACACTAAATAGAAAATGACACAGGTTTAGGAAACGTTGGCACTCTCTTCTATGGTTATCACTGGAAGCACCTTGTTAAATTCATTCATGTTTCAACAAGCAGGGACACACAGAGATCCCTATGAAATAATAATGGAAGATGGTATGAATTATGCCAAGTTGGGTGCTGTTCTCTTTAAGGAGCAATAAGGCAAGAATGATTCATTGATGAAATTAGCAAGCAGCCCACAAGCATTTCTATCCATGTTGGTTAAACTGTGTCAAAATCTTATTACCTTCATTGTTCACTAGCCTGAGCTTTCATTGCTATGATTGGTTTGTGTATACAGAATTTTCTCTGTGTCTTTAACAACTGTGATCCTAAATACAATTCCTTGGAAGCAAGTGCCAATATTGTCAATGGAATGTACTTCCAAGCAGGTGAAATGGGTTCCTATCTCAAATATCTATAGGTAAATTTGTTACCAATGGCAAGGGAAGATTTACTGCAATATTTCAGATGCCTGGAACAAAGTTAATGTTACACCTTGTGGAGGATCGCAGCTCAAGTTGATGCACTTCTGTAAAGTTCTGTTTGGTGACAAGTGGCACTTTGAAATGTCATGTTGATCACATTCCAAAAAATATATATGTCAAATGCCTTTTGTCATGTACCACTAATACATCTGAAAGTTCAATTATCTGCTTATTATTTGGCATGATTGGGAGCAAATCTTAAGATATTTTCTTACGTACCACATTCTCATGTAGAAAAGTCCTAAATGTCACCAATCCCTGAGTACTGACATAATTTGTTTTGCCTTGAAGTTATTTTGGCATGTGGCAAAATTGGCCTTTGCCGCAAATCTAATTCAGTTTCGGTATTTGGGGAGAGTTTTTTGTTTTTTTTAAAAAAAGTTAATTTAATGAAAGTGGTACAGAAGACTTCCTGAAAGGTAATATAAGGAAAATCTTCTTATAATACAACCTAATGCTCTCAAAAATGAAATTCATTTCTTTTTGGAAGTGAATGCAAAATTATTTCACAGACCCAGTCAACCAGGATGTAAATGTACTTCTTAAATGTAATTTAAAGTGGAAAAATCTTTCAAGGGAGATATGGGGTTTTTCATAAGTAAAAAATACATAGTCTGCAATCTTGACTTTCTCTTCTTGATACATAATAGAAAGGGGCATTATGCATGAAAAAGGAACCAAATTAACAGCATAATGGACAGGAGGGGAAAGAAGTAGAGCTGGCACCCAACTGAAGACAGTGCGGTTAACTTTGTTAAAGAATGAAATTAAGTTGCATGATTTTACATATTAGGACAAATGGAAAAAGCTATTCATTTTTGTTTTTAGATCATGGATGGGAAGGGGGAAAGTGTTGCTATCCAGGTGTTCCTGGACTACAACTCTTGTATTCCTTTAGCATTGACCATGTGGGCTGGAGCTGATGGGAATTGGAGCCTTATAATATCTGGAGGGCTGCAGCTTCCCCATCACTGTCCAAGCAGGCACCACCTTAGAAGATGTGTTCCATGCAAGAAGGCATCATCTAAGTTAGTGCTTACCACCCACAGTTCTTCTGTCAGAATTTTTATTTTAAAAGGGTTTCCTGATTTATTAGTATTTAAAACTTTTAATAGATTAAGCAGTGCCCCCAGGTTAATGTAACTGCTGAACTAAAAGTTGTAATCTATGGTGAAATGTATACAATTCAGTTGTCCCCAAAGTAGCAAGTCCATTGTGATCTGTGCTCACACCCCAAATCCAGCTGTTGTCAACAGTATTTGCTAGTTGTAGAGTGTGGTAAAAAGCAACCATTTCTTCAGAGTTCATGGAATAACTTCAGTGCTGTTTATTAAGTCTTTGATTGACGGTTGACTTTGTCCTGAAGAGATGTAGATATATCATTCCACCAAAAAATTGTGTGCATCTCTTTCTCTCTCTGTGTGTGTTTGTGTGTGAAATGAATATACATATATATGCACACACATGACTGAAGCTAAAATGAACTTCTACCAAAAGCTTTTTGTGACATCAACACTGTATAATCAACTTTAGTGCAGGAGACCCACATTGTTTTGTCGGCAAGGAAGTGCATACATTCCCAGGGAACATCAGATATAGAAAAACCCATAAGACTGGTTAAATGAGCAATTTATGATTTTAGATGTAATGAAAGGGCCCTGGTTATTTCAGCTTTCAAAGGAGTTTATTTTATTGCATTTGTGCAATTTCTCCATTGGCCAAGAGGGGCCACTGCTGAGCAGTTTATCCCCCTCTCTTACGCTCTCATCTCTTTCTCCTCTGAACCAACTTTGCTGTGTGGTTGTGGTCTTAAGAATGAGGACAGTAGATGTTAATCCCGCTCCTGATCTAGTGAGCAAAGAAGCACAAATCTGAGGATTTATTGCTCTTTCTCAGATTTCTAGTTGGGGGTGGAAGGGGTGATGGTGCCTTAGGTCTTTTCTTCGCTTGCTTCACTGCTTGTGAGTGACTTGAAAGAGATGATTGTGAAAGTGCAGCTACATGGTGTTAAATAGAGGAAATGAAGAGCCTCCATTCATATTGGTTCCGTAGTAGGAAAGTGTGACACCCCAGCACCCTCACATTCATGGTCAAGTAAATCAATAAAAATAACTGAGTTTCTGCTCCCTGCTAACATAAACCCTAGCTATGCCCATGATCACATCATTTTCATTTCTACTATGAGACGGAGGGAAATCTTTCGCCGTGACGAGGATGCAAAAGGAAACTGAAGAACAAAGAAGTTGGGGGACAGGGAAGGAGACCACAAGAGCTGTGAGACTGGAAAATGGCTATGGATCAAGAAAACCATGAGTGAACATTGTAGTGAATGTAAAGGTTGGATAAGATGCTGTAAGCCCAGGACGGAAATTTGTGGTCCTCCATATATTGTTGGACTGCAACTCCCATCAGCCTTTGCCAGTATAGTTAGCGGTCAGGAATGATGGGAGCTGTAGTTCACTACTAAGTGGGGGGCCACAGGTTCCTTGCCTCTGCGGTAAATGGGTGTAATTGAAACAAATGTTCAGAAGGAGCACGGAAATGAACTCAAGCTTTGATGCTGTGTGTCGCTGTATGCTGTAATTAAAATTATGTAGTGAAAATTGAGGTCCTGTAAATGTTTCCCTGGGAATAAGTACAATGAAGCTCAACAGGACCTATTTCCAAGTAGATAAAGGTAAAGGACCCCAGTTAAGTCCAATCAAAGGCAACTATGCTGTGCAGCGCTCATCTCGCTTCAGGCCGAGGGAGCCAGCGTTTGTCCACAGACAGCTTTCTGTGTCATGTGGCCAGCATGATTAAGCTGCTTCTAGTGCAACAGGACACTGTGACGGAAGCCAGAGCACACAGAAATGCCATTTACCTTCCCGTTGCAATGGTACCTATTTATCTACTTGCACTGGTGTGCTTTCGAACTGCTGGGTTGGCAGAAGCTGGGACAGAGCAATGGGAGCTCACCCCGTCATGGGGATTCAAATCGCCGACCTTCCAATCGGCAAGCCCAAAAGGCTCAGTGGTTTAGACCACAGCGCCACCCGCTTCCACTTTCCAAGTAGCTATGCATATGATTGCACTGTAAGTATGTAGAGAATTCACAATAAAGTTGCAAAGGATGTGTATTACAAAGAAATGATGGTTCTAGATTCAGGTAGGTAGCTGTGTTGGTCTGACGCAGTAGAAATATATATATATATATATGTCCAGTAGCACCTTAGAGACCAACTAAGTTTGTTTGTGGTATGCACACTTCTTCAGATACACGAAAGCTCATACCAAGAACAAATTTAGTTGGTCTCTAAGGAGCTACTGGACAATTTTTTATTTATTTTTTATTTTTATGTATTTCTAAAGAAATGATGGTGGGATTTAGTTGGAATTGTATTAGAAAGATTCCTTTCCATGACAGAACTTTATTTAATTTAACTGCAAAGTAGCAAAATAATTAAAATGAAATAAATTTTGAGCACAGCAGAATTGTTCGCATTAGCCCAACAACAGCTGGACAAAACATACCAACTGTTTCAAAACTCTCACATGCAACATGAAGACAAGAAGCAACGATATAGCAGGTCAGACTATTCTGCCCAGTGCTGTTATTCAGGCTAACAGTGTCTCTCCAGCATCTCAGAATCCTGTCATCCTGCTTTTTTCTTCTTCTGGGGGTACTCAAGGGTATGCAGTACCAACAACTGTCCCCCCCAAAAAAACCCCTTAAAAGTGTGGCACTTACTGTAATGACTTTATGGAGAATACCAGACCTTTTCCTCTCATTTTTAAAAAAATAATAATCACTTGTATCATCTGACACCTGATCATTTTAATTGAAGATGCTAGAGATTGTACCTTGGACCTTCTGCATGCAAACATGTGCTCTGCCACTGCATAATAACCCCTTGCCAAAAATAGTGTGTTATAAGTACAGGAAAAGCCCAGCCTATAGGAGCAGTTAATCAATGGAAGAAAATATCTGGAAAGGAAGTGGAACTTCTTTGAAAGGGAGCTTTCAAAGAAATGAAAGTAGGGCTGTACTTAGACACACACACCCCGCTCTCCATTGCAGTGCCAGTATTCCATTTTAACTTCTGCAACGCAATTCAACTCTTTGTTTATTGTTTACATTTTATACTACTTACTATAAAGAAATTCTTGAAGTGGTTCATGTCATAAAGATGGTACTTTTAAAACCATTTCAAAAAGCAGAAAGATCAAGAACTAAAGGACTATAGAATCCAGGGTTAACGATCAAGATTCACAGGCAAAGGGACATGTTAATAATAATAATAATAATAATAATAATAATTTGTTTATTTTATTCTGCCCATCTGGCTGGGTTTCCCCAGCTACTCTAGGTGACTCCCAATAGAATATTAAAAACACGATAAAACATCAGACATAAACAGGGCTGCCTTCAGATGTTTTCTAAAAGTCAGGTAGTTGTTTATTTCCTTGACATCTGATGGGAGGGCGTTCCACAGGGCAGGTGTCACTATTGAGAAAGCCCTCTGCCTGCTTCCCTGTAACCCTGTATAGGAAGAACACTTCTATGTTGAGGTTTCCTGAATAACAGGAAGGGGAGAGCATTCCACAGGGTAGGGACTATCTCAGAGACAGCCTGCTTCTAAGTTGCCATCAAAGAACAATTTGCAGGTTCCGGCAAAACCCACGAAGCCTCCCTTGAATATCTTCATGATCGAACAGTTTATACAGGGGAAGGATGTTTTCCAGGTAACCTAAACTGCTGAGGGCTTTGTTTACTGAGTACCCAGGCAGCTGCATATGGAACCAGCTGTAGCTTCTGGATCAGATTCAAGGGGAGCCCTACACATTACCATAATCCAGTCATGAGGTCATCTAATCATGAGGTCATCAGTGCATGAATCACAGTGGCTGACCTATTCCTGCTTGCTGTTCTGGAGCAGGTCTTAGCTGGTGTACCAGCCACAGCTGGTAGTAGGCACTTGTCCCCACAGAAGCTTCTTGAGCCTCTCATGACAATGACTCATCCAGGGTCTAAATGACAGAAACTGATCCCGCAAAGAATAAGGCAATACATTGGACACCACAGGCAGTATCCAACTAACTTGTTCTATCAGTGTAAACATTTGCACGTTGGAACTACCCCCTATCTCTTCCCTGCTGCATATCCCCTAAATCTGTTCTGGGGATTTGTGCAACCCTCTGGAATAGATCTGGGGAGGGTGCAGGGCAGGGAGGGGAGAGGGAAAGGTCAGTTGCACAAGCAGGAGTACTTGCACTGACAGAATGAGTTAGTTGGAAACCGCCTCACGTCTGATACTATACTAACCTGAGCAATTTTATCCTTGAATTTTATATAAAAGTGGTCTCAGCAGACCTCTGACAGTTCCAACATGCAATTCACTGAGCTAAACATTATTTAGGGCAAAATCTCACTGTTTAGTGTGTTCCTTTATATTCAACGAGACTAGAAAAGGTGATGGTGATATTTGAAATTTCTTTTGGAGGAGGAATGCTTGCCTGGCACTTTGGTTACATATCTTTAGGGATCAGGCAAAAATGTTTCTTAATCAGGCCTTTGACTGATCAAGATTCTATGGCTTTTTAAATGTGTCTGTAGGAAGGTGGTTATTGGCTTGTTTTTTATTTTATTATGTATTTTGGGTTCTCATTTTGCATTTTTATGTTGTGAACTGCCTGTGATATTCAGATGAAGGGGGTATACAAACTGAAATGGTGGTGGTGGTGGTGATGATATTGTATCTGCCCTCAGTCTACTAGGCATTCTTAAATAGAACACACTACAAAAAGCCCCAGGCATTGCATAAGCCTATTGTTTAAGATGGGGTTGCCAACTGGTGACCCACAAGCCAAATTGAGGCCCCAAAGTGTTGTGATCTGATGTCCCTGCAAGTGTTGATCTAGGGGTAGTAAATGTTTTGCTCATGCTTTCACGTATATGAAAAAGAAACAATGGGCTGCCATGCCTATTTTGGTTGAACACTACTGTCTCTCAGTTTTGCGCTCACTCTTGAAGATTAAAGGTTCAAAGCAGATTTGTTTCTCAAGGACATCACCTGCTATTTTTTATCTTGCAGTGCCTGAGTAAATGAGCCCCCATGCTTGTAAAGTCCTTGCTACAAAATGATGTTGGCTTGATTATTGAACCAAGTTTGTTGCTGTGTTTAAAGTTTAAGGTTCATAGTGTATTTATGAAGTGTGCTGTGCTTCTGTCAGCATGCAGCTGGTTCCCAAAATCATCATCATCATCATCTTCTTCTTCTTCTTCTTCTTGTATAGTCATTTAGTCATGTCCGACTCTTCGTGACCCCATGGACCAGAGCACACCAGGCACTCCTGTCTTCCACTGCCTCCCGCAGTTTGGTCAAACTCATGCTGGTAGCTTCAAGAACACTGTCCAACCATCTCATCCTCTGTCGTTCCCTTCTCCTTGTGTTATCCATCTTTCCCAACATTTTTTCTAGGGAGTCTTCTCTTCTCATGAGGTGGCCAAAGTATTGGAGCCTCAGCTTCAGGATCTGTCCTTCCAGTGAGCACTCAGGGCTCATTTCTTTAAGAATGGATATGTTTGATCTTCTTGCAGTCCATGGGACACTCAAGAGTCTCCTCCAGCACCATAAGTCATTAAATTCACCTCTCTTCTGTTATGGTCTAAGTCACATACAATCCATGCCCTAGAGGCTGAACCCTCCAGCAATGATTCTGTGCCTTTTCTCATGACTGCATAGACAGACGATCCCCCTACAAGCTTCTTGTGGGCCCACAGTTTACAATTTTTCATCTGCTGTATATACAAAAGAGATGGCATCAGTGCTTCAATATTGTCATTGCTGGATATTTTCAGATAAATTTGCAGAAAGGAATCCTCCTCAGTGCTCTCACCACTGAGGGCAGAATGAGGTTGATGAGGCAGTGCCCCCCCCCATTTGTCCCGATGCGACTGTCTCCATTGGTCTCCACAAGCGTCCAAAATGCAGTTCATTCAGACGGGGTCCTATCCAAATCCTATCAAACCTTTGCATTAGCAACTGACATTAAAAGAAGTAATGTAAATGCAAAATATAGATTTCCAGGCGTCCTGAATAAATGACAGTTGCCACAGACCAATTTGCTGCTGATAGAAGAGCACCTCAGGCAACCGCTAAGGTTGGATTGAAGAAACTGTTGTACATATTGCTTTTCAGTATCTGTTGGAGGTGGAAATGAAAACCTTATGGTGTGTCGGCATATGTTGTTGGCAGCGCAGTAGGTAGCATAGAAAGGGGAAGAAATGTAGAAAGCTTCTGCGGCGACTGGTTATTTCTTAGCTGTTAACGGTTTTTGTGCTCTTGATAGGTTCAGCTGGTAAAAAAATTCAGTCCTACAAAAAAAGGGAGATATTATTTCAGAGGTATATGTTATAGAATAAATATCCTTTTTAGTATACTGGTTCTGTGAAAAGCTTGGTTTAAAAGGACAGGAAGCCTCAGAAAGCCAAACTCCCAGGGAAACAGCAAGTATCCCCTTCCCCAGAACAAGTAAAACAAAGCTTGTGATAATCCTGAGGGCCACAATCCTGTGCCTTCTGGTAATAATAATAATAATAATAATAATAATAATAATAAATTATTTTATTTATACCCCCCCAGCAAAAACCGGGCTCAGGGCAGCTAACAAACAATAAAAAACAAGTTGATTGAAATGCAACTTAAAAAACAAGATTAAAATACATTAAAACATTAAAATGCAGCCTCATCACAGGAGGAGAAAGAAAAAAGAAAGAGGGGGAGGGAATCAAATTGACTCCAAGCCAAAGGCCAGGCAAAACAACTCTATCTTACAGGCCCTGCGGAAAGAAATCAGATCCTGCAGGGCCCTGGTCTGATGAGACAGAGCATTCCACCAGGCCGGAGCCAGTGTTGAAAAGGCCCTGGCTCTGGTTGAGGCTAATCTAACTTCCTTAAGTAAGTAAGACAACTACCGGTAATCTCAGTGGGCCCTGCTTCTGAGTCAACCTGCCTAGGACTGGACTGTGCAAGCAGTTGATCTTCCTAAATTTCAAGAGCAGATTTTTAAAGATTGTTTCAGGCTTTGCCCATCAAAATTATTCACTGAGGGAAAACCTTTTCACAAAAGTCTAGCTTTGTCCTAATAAACTTGTTCAGGAGTGCTATAGTATTGTTTTTATTATTAATATTGAAAAATGGTGCTTCCTTGTCTTTTCATAAGATGCACAATTTAAGAAAAAAAGTAAAAAGAAATCAACAGATAAACAAGAGGGGGAAGCAACGGCAGATCCTTAAAAGCAAAAGGGGACCGGGGCAGGGGGACACTGAG